TATACATATATGCATACATACATACATACATACATACACACACACATACATACATACATACATACATACATACATACATACATACATACATACATACATACATAAGTACATACATACATACATACATGCATTTACATACATACATACGTACATATATACATACACACATAGATAGGTAGCGACGCACATATATCATTCGCACGTACATCTACTGCCGTTGCTATGCCATCTACCGCTGCATTTGAAGCTTCTGCCACACACAGACAATCCCTTACCTGCACACAACTGTATATACACATGAACTACACATACGTGAACACATAACTTACACGAAGATGTATATATGAATTACACAATGATGCATACATAATTACACATACACACATATGTAACATACACAAAATGCACACATAAGTTACACATACACACACATGTAACATACACAAAGATGCACACATAAAATACACATACATACATGCATACATAAACAACACATACATACATGCACACATAAACAACACATACACACATGCATACAGAAACAACACATACATGCATGTGTTGCCGTTGTTATCCCTGGCAGACACATCCGCCCCATTGCCGAGCAAAAGCTTTGCCATGTCCGTGTGATTTAGTGCGGCTGCTCGGTGGAGTGCAGTCTCCCCCACTTTGTTCTGTAGCGCCGTATCTGCTTTGTTGGCCAGAAGAATCTTAGCAACCTGCACGGACGAGACATACAGGAGACGATGGGATTGGGTCGGTTGAGCACTAATAGTATATATATATATATGTATATATATATATTGACATGTACATAGAAATACAGGCGTATGAGTATGAACTACTAACATAGTAGGCCAGTACTTACCCTATACTGATATATATATATTGGCATGTGCATAGATATACAGGCGTATGAGTATGTACTAGCATAGTAGGCCAGTACTTACCCTATATTGGTCTTACAGCAGTGGAGTTCTATTGGGATATACATAGTACGACTGCTTTGGGATCAGAAGAGACTGCGAGCTCACACCAACCGCAAGACACACAGTGTGATATGTGGTTCGAACGCGTTGTCACGGCAACACAAAACTGAGACTAAAAATGTGAGCGACACGGATGAAGAACACGCTGGTGGAAAGGAAATTGGGTAACGGGATATGCACGAAATAATAATATTCGGACAATGAGATTCTACACTTGTGGGTCTTTGTAGTTTTGTAAACGTTTGAACGTCTCGGACAAAGCACTGCCGACACCCAAGTGGAGAGGGCAGATATCTACTAACGAACATCAGAGGACTGGCGGCAGTTCGGTACGATGGTCATATTACTACCTACACGATGGTCTTATTACTACCTACCAGTGACCTGCTGAGACGCTAGGCTGGATCAGGACGAATACTCAGCAATGCACACACACAGAGCTGCATGTACATGTACATGTATATATACATGCATATGTACATGTACGTGTACATATACATGCATATGTACATGTACCTGTACAGGACCACTAACATATAAAACTGCTTGCCAGTATGATCGAGGTGTAGGTATGCGGAGACGTATGTAGATACGCGTCGATGTGCATGGCCATATCACTAGCTTATTGTAAACATGAGCGTATACCTACCAATACGAAGAGTACGTGAACACACGAGCATGTAGGTACGTTCAAGGACATGTGCAGCATGGCCATACCTCTAGCCTATTGTAAACATGGGCATATACCTACCAATACGAAGAGTACGTGAACACATGAGCATGTAGGTACGTACAAAGATGTGTGCATTGCCATACCACTAGCCTATTGTAAACATGAACATGTACCTAACAATACGAAGAGTACGTGAACACCCTCGCATGTAGATACGTACAAAGATGAGTGCAGTGCCATACCACTAGCCTATTGTAAACATGGGCATATACCTAACAATACGAAGAGTACATGAACACACGCGTATGTAGGTACGTACAAAGATGTGTGCATTGCCATACCTCTAACCGGTCTTTGCTGGCTGTATAGTGCAAGGCAGTTGCACCCATGGCGTTCACCGCATCAACGTCGACCTGAGCAAAGCATACAATGTCAAACTAGTTGAGCAATTAGTGGACACTATAGTCTGACACCAATACTTCACATATGAACGGATATACAGCGAATACAAGGCATAGAATGTCAAACTATTTGAGCAATTAGTGGCCACTAACTGAGGCCATAGTCTGACACCAATGATTGATCAGATTAATAACGGCTACTAGTTATAGAAACAACACGAAATCACTCAGTAACTACCTCAGGGCCACGTAAAACCGAGCACGCAATAACCCAACACCAATGAATAACTGAATAGCGGACACACTGTGAGTAAAGATATTGGGGTAGGTACTTGATAGGGCTATACCTACTGCAAGTACTTGACAAGGCTATACCTACTACAAATACTTGACAGGGCTATACCTACTGCAAGTACTTGACAGGGCTATACCTACTGCAAGTACTTGACAGGGCTATACCTACTGCAAGAACTTGACAGT